AATTACAGAAGATTTCATAGTGGCGACTGCCATTTGGATGGAGGGAAGCAGGGGATGGATGGAGGCAGAGATGTGTGAACATCTATTTTCTCTGACCTCTCACTGGTTTTGACTTCTTTTATACAAATAATAACTTAATTTGCGTAGCATGTTTCATGTGGAGAAACCATCCAAAAATGTGTCGCGAAAAAAGAATTGAGATTAGGAAGGGGGGTTAGAATAGCTGCTAAATTATAGTTTTCAACGTCAAGCAAATTTTACTGTAATAGTGAAAATTTTGAGGGTTACATCACAAAAATATATATTTAATCTTTAAAAAGATATAAACATTTTGTTTTTGTTTGTCAACTAGGGATGCATGATATTTCGGCATTAACATCGGCTTCAGTTGATATTGGTAATTTTTTTAGAATATCGGTATTGGTCCAGTAAGTAAAACTGGGCCGATATTAATGTCTGAAATTGATTTCCCACTTTTTTGCTTTGTGTTTCTGTTTTGGGAGGGGAAATGGTTGGTGGAGTGGTATCTGTTTGATCATGATAGTGATGCTGTACAGCCAGGAATAACTGATGTAGAGAGCCATTTCAGACGTTTGGTCATTTTTTAATGATATCAAAAAAAGACAAGTATATTTGTGTGTATATGTATATAAATAATTTTTGGGTTTGTGTAATATCGGTAAATATCGATTATCGGCCATAACACCAGTAATAATATTGGATATTATTATCAGCTGAAATCTTTATATTTGTGCATCCCTAACATCAACCATTAAAATACGCTTGTTGGGTGACCTTTTTTTACGCTCCTGTTATCCTTTTTCACTTCATTTTTAGTTGTTGTTTTTTTCTGTCTTCACTTTCAGTTTTATCAGTCTAGATCAGTGGTTCCCAAACTGTTCAGCGTTTGACCCACAAAATAACAGTAACACTAGCAGGGACCTGTGCCCCCAACTATTTTTGGGTGATAAAATTGGTATCAGGTCAAATAATAAAGGGTATCGTAACAATATTCATGACCCCAATTTCATCCATTTTTAAGTACACTAACCTCACCCTTTTGTAACAACTAAGGCAAAAAAAAAACTGTAGTTGTCATTTTTAAATATACTTATTTAAAATATATTTTCAAGATCGCACTTTAGGCCTTTTTGCACTGACCTGACTTCAAACCCTAATGAGAGTAACTT